GCGCAAGGAAGAGGTGGGGGGTTATGTTAAATCAATGGCGCGGTTGGATCGAATTTATTTGACTTGCTACCCTGCTAATTGAAAGGGGCGTCAGCCCATGGCTGGCGTCGTCGGCTTTGGAAAAGCTGGCTGGCGCAGCGACCGCGCGCTTGTTGTTGTTGTTGTTGTTGTTGTTGTTGTTGTTGTTGTTGTTGTTGTTGTTGTTGTTGTTGTTGTTGTTGTTGTTGTTGTTGTTGTTGTTGAACATTATTTCATCTTAAGAATAATTATTGTTGGGACCCCTGGTGCGCGCCCCCCCCGCCGCGCCTAGGCCGCAGCCTCATTTTCATCATTTTCGTGAGGAAGTCTCAGGCAAAACGATGTGTCCAGATCCGGTTGTTTTGTTGTCCCCCGCTTTCCCTTGCAAAAAATACTAAAGTGGACATTTCTTGTTCTAACATAACCAAACTTCAAGAATCCCTTGCAAAAAATAAGGTAAAGTGGACATTCGCGCGCGCAAGACGAAATCCTTCCAAAACCTTAGTTTTCGTAGCGATTTTAACATAAAAACATCAAAAAACCAATGGTTTTTCAAAAAAAAATGTCAAAATTTCATCCCGCGCGCTCTTGCGGATTCGTAGGAAACCCAACACTTTTTAAACATTTCTGTCAAACGGGCTTTTGCGAGCAACTTTTTCGAACTTCTGCAACAACGGTTGCGCACCTGCCAGGGCCATCATCCCTGTCAAATAATACCATGCGGGACACATTCGTTTTTTCTTCGCGCGCGCACGCCGTCGTCGTCGGCCGCGGGGCCCTGAATAGTAGCCACGGTCGTCCGCATGCCACGAAGTGAAGTGTCCGAACGTCATAGGGCGGGAAGCTGGGTGTGGGTGGTGGCGAAGAGTCGTTTGGAAATTTGGTAGAGCTTGAACCGGCCCCCCCACAAAGTGGGGGTATTGCCCGCCTCCTATGAAAACCCTGGCACTGGTGAGAACGGAGTGTCCCCACGTGCTAGTAATTGTTGTTGTTGTTGTTGTTGTTGTGGTTGTGGTTGTTGTTGTTTTTTCTCATTATGAATTTATTTATTTATTATATATATTGTACATATAAATAAAAAATCTTCTCTCGGGCTCGGGGCGCGCTCGGCGCCGCGGCGTGGCCGCGCGCTTCCCCGTTTGGCTCGCGCTGCAGAATTTAAGGCGGAGGTGGGACATATTTTGACTGAGGTGATGTTGGAGGGATCTATTGGCGAAAGGATTGGCCAGCATCAGCGCGCCCCGTGCGAGGCGGGCATTGGGGCGAGGGGGGGGGGGGGCGCGCGAAAGGAGAGAGCCAGAACAATCGTGAGCAGATCAGCTGGATGTTTGCTGTTTTCCGAGCGATGCGCGATCATCGCCTTGCCATATTACAGCGCGCTGCCCGCGCCTATCCTGCCCCTGTGCAGCCCATGGGTTCGAAGGGGGGCGCGTGGAGGGATTCGAATAGGATTCGCGTTTGCATGCAGGTTTTGACCTTGAGCAGCCCATCAGAGGAGGAGGCGGAGGTCACGCGCAGTTCTCTACCGCAGCAAGCCAGAGATGCACGGCTGCAGCGCGTGAATCGCTCGCAGCAAGCGCGGGCGCGAGTCCGCGGGTCTGCGCCATTTGCGGGCGTTTACGACGCCTCTCAGCAGCGGGTCACGGAACCCGAGGCATGCGCCAGACCCTTTGCTAAACGTTGGGGCAACGTGCACCGTGGCGGGGGACCTCGCGCGCCTGCCTGCCTCGAGTTCGATCGACGCGTTCAGACTGCCCCCCCCCCCCACCCATATGGAATGGCAGCTGCGCGAAGAGGAATGCGACGAGCGCCCCGACAAGCTTCGTGACTCTGCTCCAGGAGGGGACGGGTTACCTTATAGTTGCTGGAAGGTGGGGGATGTTTGGGGGGCGCTTCTACGCGAGCTGCATTGCTTTCTGTTGGGGCAAGGCGAACTGCCGCCCGATTTTATCGGGCGCCTTGCCGTTCGTGTGCCCAAGGGGGATGACGATCGGGACCGGGATGGTGTCTTTCGTGATCCCAGCAATGTTCGGCCGATTTCTTTCTATATCTCCTGCAATAAGATCATTGCTGCTGTTATCGCTCTTCCGATGTCCCGTGCGCCCGCTCGCGCAGCTGCTGCGTGCCAGCGCAGATTTGCACCTGGCCGCAACATTGCCGGTGGTACGATTGGTTTGGAGACCGCGTTTTTAGAGCATGGCCCGGTATATGGGGAACGGGGCACGCGTTCATGTTCGCGCGATGTTAAAGCTGCTTTCCAGTCGGTTCTACATTCCTGGATCTCCAGGGTTTTCGAGCGGATGGAATGGCCGCCGATGCTTATTGCGGCCGTTCGCGTTCTGTGCGACAACATGTCGGTTTGCGTCTCGTTTAGCGGGCGTCGGGAGTATTCGTTTGCGCTGGAGCGCGGGATGAAGCAGGGATGCCCGCTGAGTGGGGTCAGTTTTGCCCTTGCTTTTGACCCTTTTCTCCTCAGTATGGAGGATGCTTTCCCTGCTCCTGGCATTCCTCGTGCGTTTGCTGTCGATGTTGGGCTCATGAGTTCTGGCATGTACCAATACCCTCCCTCCCCCCCCCTCCCCCCGATTCTTTGCATGTGGAACGTGGCTGCAGGGGCTGCGGGGCTTGTGCTCAATCTCCCTGAGAACGAATTCTGTTTCTTATTCCCTCAACCTGACCTCGAAGGTACATGTCGGCGTCTTGGCTTCAGAATTGGGTGCTTTTCGTTTGTGCAGTTAGGTTGCATTCCTGGGAGTTGGATTGGTCCTGGAGGCATGAAGGAATCTGCGGCGAAAGCTGCCGATGAATGTCGTCGTCGAGGAGTGCTCACCCGTGCTCTGTAAACAATGAAGCTCTGATTGGCAACATCGTGGCTGACAACACTTATGGCTTCATTGTACTGTCGTCTGTCATTCAGTTCTAACCACCCACCTCGCTCGCCCTCAAGAGAAGGCAAAACGTTGTCCAGTTTCTTGCCGCTCCCCCACGCTTTTCTATCCCGACCTCGCTTCTTGCGCAACATGAAAGAGTTGCCGAATTCTGTGCGTGTGCGCAGCTTGCCTCTGGCGTGCGACGCTGCCCGCTATCGCTGTGCATTTTACTCTTCTGCCTTTCACCGCGGCCGCGAATCGCCGGACAGGGCTGCGCCCGGCGATGAAAGAACTCTCGTTCCCAACCTCGACGACCGGAGGAGGCGTAGCAATGTATACCAGACGATTGACTTGCATGACCGTGTTTGGAGAATACCGAACGCGCCCCAGGCACCCTGTCGCGAGCTCCAACGGAAAACCGAGAGCGCTCTGAGATCTTTGTTTTTCCTTCACTCCTGTGCCGATGTTCTCCTCCCGAGGCTCCAATATTGGCTCCGTGCGGCCTCTCCTGCGCGTGCGTTTGATTTCGTTGTCCAGCTTTGGCTTCTCAATAAATCCCTGCCTGAGTTTGTGCGGATCTCTGTGCTTGAAGTTGTTTGCAATTCGTGGTGCACCTCGCGAAGGCTCTGGCAGGAGACCCTCGCATGCCGATTTGGCTGCATGGCCGTCGGAGGTGACAGTCTTGAACATTATCTATGTTGTCCTGTCTTTCTGTCTGCCTCCTCTCGTCTTCTTCCGTTCCTGCCTGCCCTCTTCGTGGCCCTCGCTCTCGTTTCTTGATCGCCTGTTTGTGCGCCGCCGCTCTTGGTCGACATGTGAGCATATGTTCGCCTCTGCCGTTGCCTTTGATCTCGCTCTCTCTCTGCCTTCGACTCTCAGCGTGTCCATGACAGCTTCAGCCAGACGAGTGCCAAGTCACTCTTCGAGGGAAGGAACCGCGCCCTCAGCAGAAAGTCGCAGGTGCTCCGGAGCTGGTTTTGCTAACCGCCGAGGAGTTTCCATGGCTGGGTGTCTCCTCCTCCTCCTCCTCCTCCACATCAGCCCCATCGCCATCCTCACATTCATCCTTACCGCACGTCGCATCAACCTAACCTCCATGTCCTCGTCTCCCTCTCTCTCTCTCTCCATCTTCATCAGAATATACATCCTCATCTTAGTCATATCTTTGGTCCTTGGTTATCATCTGATTGTATTACCCCCTCTTAGTTTGGATGTATTTTGCCACGGGCCTCCAGAGGTTCCTGGAGGCTCCCAGAGGTCCCCAGAAGTCAGCCAGAGGTTTGAGGCACTTGTGAGGCTTCCAGAGCCTCAAGGAGGACCCAGCAGGCCACGATCATCTCGCTCCTTGAACCTCGAATATGGGTCCTCCTTTTCTTCCTCCTCCTCCTCCTCCTCCTCCTCCTCTTCCTCTTCCTCCTCCTCCTCCTCCCCCTCCCTCAGCCTCCTTCCTGGCCCAGGGTGCGACGGCCCTGGGGCCGGATGTAGCATCCCTCCCAAGGGCCGGTTGACCTTGGGGGGGTGATTGATTGATTGCCAGGGGACCCCTGGATCCAGGAGTCGATGGGAGGAATCCTCCTCCTCCTCCTCCTCGTCCTGCTTCTCTCTCAGCCTCTTTCCTGCTCCTACCGAACTTTTTCCTTCGAATTATCACTTTTCCTCCTCGGAACCTCGAGTCTTTTCCTCGACCCCCAAGTTTCGACTCCTCCTTCCTCCCTTTCAAATGGTCGGAATCTCGTAGCTCGATGCTCCTCCACTTCGTGTTCCTTCTCCTCCTCGTCCTCCTCCTCCTCCTCCTCTTGATTCCTGAACCCTGATGGCTTCGATGCTCGTCGAACTTAGCCATTGCCTCCTCCTCCTCCTCCTCCTCCTACTCCCCCTCCTCCTCCTCCTCCTCCTCCTCCTCTTCCTTTTTGCATCCCTCGCCCTCCTCACCCTCCTCGACCTCCTCCTCCTTCTCCTCCTCGTCATCCTCGCCCTCCTCCCGCCTCGCCCTCCTCGCCTTCCTCCTCGCCCTCCTCCTCGTGCCCCTCCTATCCTCCTCCAACCCGCCGCCGCCCAGACGCTGCGCCCCCCCCCGCCCCCCCGAAACCCCGCCGAGAACCCCCCCCAGAGGCGGCCGGCGGCGAAACCCCGCGGAGCAGGGGTGCGCAGCGCCCCGAGGCCCGCGCCGCCTACGGGGCGGGGGGGGGGGGCGTCGCGTGTGCCGGGGGGAGGGCGATACACGGGAGGGGTTTCGCTCTCTTTTTTTTTTTTACAGCCGCAGGCGGAAGCGCCGGCGGCGAGGGGTCACGGTCGGGCTGCGGCCGTGACGAATCACCCGGGCGCGCGCGGGGGCCGCGGATCAGGCGACGGGGCAAGCAGCAACAAGGGGTTTCGCTCTCCGCAGAGTGTCGACATGGCCTTTCGAGGATGCCCATTTTTCCAAGATTCGGCGGTAGCACTGTTCACTGTTCCGGCTCCAGGCAGGACGAGGAGATGGAGATATTGATGCCCCGCTCTGGCTTTCAGACGTGAGCAGTCAAGGAGTTGAGTTCCGTCCGTGGTTCTAGAGCCAGGCAGACAGACCCGCTGGATGGATGCGCCACCACCTGGCATCACTCAAGGAGAAAAAAAAAGAAAACGGATGATCATTTTTCCAAGGTTGTCCGAGGGTGCTCTACATTTTGAAGCTTCAGTGTGCCGTTGCCGACCCTGCAGGCCTCCCATGAGGGGCCCCAGGAGCTCAAGGGCGACCTAATCGACCCCCGGCAAGCCATCCCCTTCCGTGACGCCCCCCTCGCCTCACTTCAAGGCGTGCGGATGCGGTTGGAGGGAGGCCTGGAGGGCGCGGGTGACGTCACGGAAGATGCTCGTCGCGGAAGTGGTCGATTGGGCCGCGCCCGACGAGTAGAGTCAACCCGTATGGTAAGGATGAGCACCTTTCCAAGGTTATTTTTGCATTTTTCCCCTTGGGCCTATCCTTGGCCGCTTTCGCTGGCCGCGCCCCGCCCGCAAAGTGTCGACATGGCCTTCCAAGGCCCTTGCATCCTCATCGTGCGTCCTTATTATACGGGTTGAGTGTAGATGGGGTCGGAGCCCAGCTATGCTCGCGCCCGGAAAAGGAAATCAGGCCGGGCGAGGTTCTTGCCCGTTTTGGGGCTTTCGGAGGCGCCTTCTGGGCCCCAGGACCGTCAAGACACGATTTCAGGACGAGTAAATTGGTCCTGGGGAAAGTGTCGGGACTACCGGGAACCCCGTACTTCGGCCACGGCCTTTTCGAGGGCTGCAGAAAACGGGCTCCACAGGGCCCCTGGGGGCCCTTTAGGGCCCCGAAGGGAGCCTTCAGGGCTGGAGAAGTGTACATTTCTCCTCACCCTCTTTTATCGCCCCCCCATGAAGCGACGCCCAAGGGGGTCGGGGCTCAAGGGACGGGGGTCAATGAAAATGTCGGATTCGAGCAAATGGGTCATTTCCAAAGCGGGTTTCAAAAATGTACGCAGCCGTGCAGTCGTTCGTGCGGGATACGCACGTCGTATAATACCACCACGTGGCTCACGCGCCAATGCAGATGGGGGTCAACGCAAACGCGGGTCAATGCAAACTTGGGTCAATGCAAACGGGGGCTCAAGGGACAGGGGACAGCGCAGGATCCTGCAGGGCCTGACTGACCCGAGTTTGCGATGACCCGGGTCAGTGCGTCCACGAGGGGGGGGGCTCTGGAGGCCTCCCAAGTGGAGTTCCCCGAGCGCTTCTGAGAAGCCCCGCCGCCTTTGAGAATCGGGGGAGGAACAGGTTTCCCCCATCGCTACCCTTCCCCTCGTTTCCCCCTTTTTGGGCCTCCTGGGAGACCCTCGTCGCCACGGCTGCATTCGCTTCAAATCCTGGTCAGAACGCGCCCCAGGAGAGGTCCAGGAAGTAGAGCTATCGGTTCTTGCGAGCAGGAAGGGGGGCAGGTTCGATCAGCCAGGCTCAGAGGGGGGTAGGGGGAGGGGGGAAGGCTTCTTACCAGCACCCCTGCTTCTCAGAAGACGCGGGCCTTGTCTGTAGGTGTAGGACCGGCGCCTTCTAAGAAGCAGCTTCCTTCTAAGAAGCCTTCCCCCTTCCGTTACCCCCTTGTGCGCGCCGCCAAAACCTTGACATGCAGCGTTCCGATATTTTCAATACGTCGTACCCGGAAGTCCCGACCTTTTCCTCAGGACAAGGTTTTCATCCTGAGTCGGTTTTTTGACGGCGCCGCCTGCGAGGGTGGGGACGCCCTCGCAGGCCTCCCGTGCGGTCAGAGGAGGAACATCGGTATGATCGAAATGGGTACGGAAAGAATGGGCACGATGCCCAACAGCAGTTTCTGCTCACTTAGAACAGGACTCGCTCTCCGCGCCGCCGCGGGCGTTGAAGTCGACAAGCCGCCTGCCCAACAGAGGCCGCAGTTGGTTTTGGACAACAGGTGTTGTTGGGCATCGTACCCATTTTTCCAGTACCCACTTCGGGCACCCAAGGAAAAGGCTGCTCGGACGGCGCTACCCAGAGATCTGGCGCTCCAAAAAACATGGGAGCGGGCGGGTTTTTGCTGGTTTCGGTCTTTGGGGGCCCTCACAGGGCCTCCCAACTGGGGCCCCGCGATGGCTTCTGAGAAGCCCCGCCGCCTTTTGAGAATCGGGGGAGGAAAAGGTTGCCCACACCGCTACCTCTCCTTCCATCGTTTTCGGTGTTTCGGGGCCTCCTCGGATGCCCTCGTCGCCACCGCTGGATTCGCTTCGAAATTCTGGTCAGAACGCACCTCGGGAGAAGTCCGGGGAGTAGTGGCATGGGTATCTGTTGTATTCCCCATGAGAAGGCCTGCCCTTTCTCATTGTTCCCTTGGGCTCGCCCCAAGACGTTGCGCGTCTGCATATGTACACCGGTCTTGGGCTCAGGGGCGGCACAGTAAACCATCCCCTTCCGTGACGTCCCCCTTGCCTCACCCCATGGCCAGAGGGCGCGGGGGACATCACGGAGTGTGTTCGTCACCGAAGGGGTCGGTTAGGCCGTGCCCGACGAGCAGATGGGGCCGCAGCCCAGACATGTTCAAAATCAGGACTCGAGGTTTTTGCCTGGTTTGGGGCTTCTGAGCTGGTCGAGCGTCCCGCGCGTTTGGACTGCAACCAGCTCGAGCGATGCGTTCAGGCAGCTCGAGCTTAAGATCCACGACGTTTCGGTCAGGATTTTGACGCCAATGCGACCTGATCCGCAGCGCAAGAAAAGCGGCATGGCACATTTCAATGCACCGCAGCACAGCACATCAGTTGCCCGTCGCCCAAGAAAACATGTCCATGCGTCACATTTATATACCCCTTATCGGGAGAGCCGCCGTTGTCTCCAGTGTCCTTTCACCGGAGGAGGAAGGACAGCGGTCGTCGCGATGACGGTGTGTGGTGGTGGCGGTCAGGAGGAGGAAGAGGAGGATGATGGAGGAGGAAGAGGAGGATAATGGAGGAGGAGGAGGAAGATGGAGGAGGAGGTGTGTGGTGGTGGTGGTGCGGAGGCGGAAGAGGAGGATCATGGAAGATTGAGGAGTGAGCTGGGAGGCGGCGGCGGCGGACGATGGAACCGGCGTTCAAGCCGTTCTCGAGCAAACTCGAAAGCACAAGGAAAAACCTCAAGAGATGTACTCACAAGTTTCTTTGTGGCCGCATGATGGGAGTAGGGAGGCAGGAGGAGCGAGGATGGAGGCAGAAATGAGCGTGGAAGGGGAAAGAGGCAGGAGGTGGAGACGGAGTAGCAGGAGCACTTTGAAGAAGGAAGAGGAGGATGAGTAACCGGTTGACTGGTGTATTGGATTACGGTGTAAAGCAGGTGGAGGTACGCCTGGACCCTCTTTTATGGACGTCTTCGTTGGCCGAGAGTGCATAAAAGAGTCCTCGAGCGTGCAGGGGCACGCAGAAGATGGAAGAGAAGGGTACGAATGGTGTGATGGATGCAGGAGAAGCGGGAGCATAAGCAGGAGGTGGCAGACTGACAGGGAGGAGGGGTGGTATTCCATCAGTGAATCCAGTCAGAGCATAATTCAGGAATCAAACCAAGTTAACGGCCAAACATCTTCGCAAGGACGGAGTATTTATCTGAACGGGTCCCTTGCGTTCTTGATTGTTCGGCCCATTCGAAGGCAGTTGTGGACGAACATTGGTTTTGCAGGGGCCTCCAACCTACCCGTAAACCTTCTCTCCCTACTCCCCCAAGAAGCTTCCAAACCTTCAAGACCCCTTCTGTCCCCGTCCTCCCTGCTCCTCAGCCCTCCCTCTCCGTGCCTTGAATTGGAATCATCACTTCCTGAAGTGTGACGTTTGAGTGCAGTACTGGTCGGCCGTCCATCTTCCCGCGACTCTGCCGTCGGTGGGCAGAAGGGGTTGCGAAGTCGGTTCGTCTCGCTCCCTCCCGTTCCCTCCGTCCTCGTCTCCTCACCCTGCCCTGCTCTCCCCTGCCCCCCTGCCTCCCGCCTCGTTCTGCCCCCCTGCCTCCCGCCTCGTCTCCCTCCGTCCTCCACTCTCCTCCCCACCCCCCCCACTTCTCTCCCCCAGCGCTCTACCCCGGGCAGCTCCCTGCCGCCCCGGCGGGGGGAGGGAGGCCTGGCCGAGGGGGCCCTCCCAAGGGGGGCGAGAAGGGCGAAGCACCTCCGCGCCGATGGCGTCGAAGCGTGGCGGGCAGGTCAACGTCTGACTTTGCCCCGGCTCGGAGTCCGGTCTCAGTCGGGCGAGTCCCGCTCTGCCCCGCCAAGTCCGCGGCCTGATCCAGCGCAACAGCTCCCCAACGGGGCTTCATCCTCCTTCATCCTTCCGACGAGTACCTCCCAGCGGCTGCCTCCTAGCCCCCCCATTGGCATCGCTCGGACGTGTGCATTCTTCTCGGCGAGGACCATCGAGGAGCATCCTGGATCATCGAGCAAAAGAACACCCACGAAACCGACAACTGCACGGCGAATGGACGTCCGAGCGATGGCGAGCCCCCCCCCTCCCCGCGCGCCGGGAGGATCCAGCAGCCGCGGCGCGAGCACCCGTGCCCCGCCTCCATGCCTTCGCCGCGCGGCCCGCGCCCAGCTCGCGAGCGCTCTGCGCGCGCTCTCGCCCCTCCCCGCGCGGCGGCCCCCTCCGCCTTCACCGCCCCCTCGCTGCCCCGCGCACGGGGGGGGGGGGGGGGGGCGCGGGGCCCAGGAGTGCTCGCGCCGTGGAAAGATCGGGGCGGGACGCTTTTCGCGGTTTCCTGGCCCTGGGGGCCCTCGCCGGGTACCGGGACCGTCAAAAAACGCCTCGGGATGAAAAGCCGGTCCCGGGGAAGTGGTCCACCTCTGGGGGTCGACGTTGTGACAAAAGTCACGACGTCGGGGGTCTGTGTAGGGGGGTGGGGAGCTGTGGGGCTGGGGCGAGATTTTTAAAGGACTTGGGCACCTGTCCGGCTCAAGCTCTCGTCTCTTCGACTCCAGCTACACAGTCCAGCCGTGCGTCCTGGCCGCGCGCGTACGGTTGCAGCTACATGGTTGGTATACGAGTCGGCGATTCCAGGGGCATGCTCCATGTCGCCTCGGATACGAAACGCAATAGCATCGAGCACCTGGCCACATGCCGAGTCCAGCAGCAGTTGTCTGGGCGCTTCTTCCAGATCGTTCCGGCTACGCGGGGGCACGCCCGGGACTACTGCCTATATTGCTGGGCGACGGCGTTGCCCCGGCGGCGGGGCAGACGCTGCTCCGCGACCAGGCCCTGGGCATCTGCGCCTCGTGCCCCCTGCACAACCACCAGCGCTGCGGCGGCCTGCGGGCGGACGAGTTGGAGGGGGCCTTCGCGGAGTACCTGCGAGATGGCTGGCGCGGGCAGGAGACGGACTCCTGGACGTGACGGATGTTTCGGGGGGCGCGGTTGCCTGCCAGTTTTCGCGCTTTGTCGTTTTCGAACGGCCCCCTTCGCGTGCAGGGAGGTTTCGTGGTCGCGCACCGGCCCCAGGGGCAACCTTCGGTGTAAGTGTTTGTGTTTCAGTGTCCTCTCCTTCCCTCCCCTCCTCCACCTCCTCCTGCCCCCATTCTAGCCGAGCCCAGGGCCAGTTCGCACTTTCGGTGGCACGTGGCGAGCTGAGACAATACATCGCGCCCGTTGAAAGACAGCTCAAGGATGGAGCTTTCGGCCACCGCGCTGGCCACTCTCACGCCCCCGGGCCCGCCCAGCGGCGACCGCTCAGATCGCCACGGAGCGTTGCAGTCGGCGCAGACCTGCCCTGGGACGCTCGGCGAGAGCGCGCGGCCGCCCCCCTTCCAGTCCTTCCTCTTCCTCCTCCTCCTCCTCCTCCTCCTCCTCCTCCTCCTCCTCCTCCTCCTCCTCTTGGTCGGCCGAAGGGCTGATGATGCTGCCTGCGCGCTCGTCGAGGGCGGTGCCCCACCCCTCCCCCCTCCGTCCTCTGCTTCCCCTCCCCTCGTCTCCCCCCTTCGGCCGCCACACACTTCGACGTGCTACGTGGTGCATGCTATCGTGTCCACGCTGTCCCAGCCGCGTGGCCGATGGACCCCAGGACTTCGTGCACCGAGCAGCCAATTCGAGCTGCCTTTCCGCCTCTTCTCTTTCCTCCCGCTCTCGCCTCCCGGAGGCGGTGCGCCGGGTAGTCTTGCCGGGGTGCGCCGGCTCTGCGCCTCTGCCTGTCTTGCTTTCGCTGCCCCTCGGACGCTGGAGCCCCACTTCGGGACCACCTGCCAGCCGGAGGATGCTGTACGCGCAGTCTGATGCTGGCTCTCTCCTCTCTCTCCCTCCACCTCGGCTTCCCCCCCTCGCTCCCCGTTGGGTCCGAGGCGCGGGGGGCGACGAGAGAGGTCCGCCCTCCGTGCCGGCTCCGCGCGGAGGTGGCTGACATCGGGCCGCCCAGCCTCGCCCGCGGATCCCTGGCCAGGGAGTCGCCCGTATAGCCCGCCTTGTCCAGCCACGCCGGCTGCCTTCGCCAACCATGTGACCATTCTCATTTGCGGCAGGGCCGCATTCATAAGCCAGGGATGTTCGCCCGCACGCTGTGTTGCTCACTGCTGTCCTCCTTTTGCCCCCCTGCCCTCCAGGCGCCGGTGTGTCGGCCCGCGTTCGCATGGTGATGTTGTGCTCCAGTTCGGTGTTTTCTTTTCTCCTCCTTCTCCTCCTCGTGTCCGCGTCCACCTCAGATTCCGAGTGTTTTGGCTTCCTGCCCTCCTTCCTCTCCGGTTTCCGCCTGCTGCCGCAGAGCGTCCGTATACACAGCCTTCGCTCGCAGGACAGCCGTTATCCGTGGCTTGGTGCTTCAATGCTTCCCGAGGGCGCGGCATGTGAGGTGGCTTCGTGGCTTGTCGCCTGAGTCGCCGAGGTTGTCCTCGTGCTGCGGTGTTCGTTTCCAGTCCGCTCTTCCGGAAAAACAAAACACAGACCCCTCTTGTTTTGGGGGTCGCGAATGTGTTCGGAGGTTCCCTCAGCCGCCAGGGGCTCCTCGGAGGAGCACGTGGAAGAAGAGGAGGGCGGCCGCGGGAGCGTGGGCGGGGGCTCCCACGTCTCCGCGGCCGCCCTCCTCTTTCCCGCGTGCCCGCGTGCCCTGCCCGGGCGCGGCCCGCCAGGCCACAGACGCGCCCGCGTTCGCCGGCGCTGGTGACAAATCATCGCCAGGCGCGTCCCACTACTCGCACCAGGCCTACTCGCAAGCGTCCGCACAAGAACACAGCTCTGCCTCGAGGTAGTGGATCGTACCCCCCCCCCGGCGGCGGATCCAGGTCCTTGGCGAGTAGCTGCGTCGCGAGTGGTGGATCTCGCTCGTCTGAGTATACAGTCTGTTTTCGGAGGTTTTGGGGACCCGGGGTGGTTTCCATCAGTCAGCTGGGCCTCGCCGACAGCGTTCCGGGCATGCCAAGCAGCGCCGCGAGCGGCCGCCCGCGGCCCAGGCCATCGTCGGAACGCCATCGGGGCCCGCTTCGATCCGACCGGTCCGATTCGACGTCGATGCTGGCCCGCCCGCTCCGATCCGCTTCCGACGCTCGACCAGAGAGGTGTTCGAGCGCTCGATCGATCGTCGAGCGCTCGAGCGTGTCGTTCTGCATGTTCGGTCTCTGTGGGGCTCTTTTCGGGCCGCGGGGCCGTGCAGTCGTCGACCCGGGACGGACAACGTGCCAGGGCGGGCTCCAGGAGCTGGGTAGTCGAAGGCCAGACTGTCAGATTGGATTGGGCCCCACGGGCCAATCTGGCCCGGCCAAACTGGACGGTTTGGGTTCTTCGCCAGGCTGGATTCGCGCCGGCTCCCTCGCCAGATTGCCCCCGTTTGCCAGATTGGGCCTGCCAGATTGGCGCCAGATTGGCTTCGACTACCCAGGCTGAGGAGGAGGAGGAGGAGGAGAAGGAGCAGGAGGAGGAGGAGGAGGAGGAGGAGGAGGAGGAGGAGGAGGAGGAGGAGGAGGAGGAGGAGGAGGAGGGGAGGGGTCCCGGGACCCATTTTGAGCGGCGTTCGGGGTCCGTCGTCGGGCGCGGGCGCGCTCCTCCGAGTGGCCGCGGGCGCGCGGCCTTCGGGGGGGCGCGGGGGGGCCAACCCCCTCGCACGCGGGCCGCTGCCGTCGCATCGCATGCAGCGATCAGCAGGCCGCACACCTGCCCAGCGTCACTGCTGCGTGCATCCAGCGGAGAGGCCGGGAGAGGGGCTGTGAAGCGGGGGTGCGGTAGCGATCACCCTGTCGATCTCGGGTGAGGCTCATGGGCTCTCCCATCTTCGGAGGTCGGTGCTGGTGAAGCACCACCTCATCGGGGTAATGCTGGCTCATGCACAATCTCTCGCACCTGGGATTGGTGGTTTTTGTGAGCATTTCGCATACACTATATGGCAGACACCTTTGCACGTTACACTCGCGCGAATGTATGTATAGTATGCGTGCAGGACCGGCCGGGCTGTGTCTTGGACCAGTATGTCGTGAGACAGGCTTGATTCGAGTTTACTTTGCATCTCGGATAATTGTGAACACGCAGACGTAATTAAGCAAATGGATAACATCGGGTGATGACGCACGAATGCAACGGACATAGTGATACAACTGCGCCGCCTCTACGTTGAGTTTCGGAGCAAGGTGGGCATGCAGGCGCAAGCAATTGGATGCCGACAAGTCTGTGGAGGTACCAGTGCAACATGAGTGCAGGGCCGCTGGTATTGCTCCCGGGCTGTGTTATGGAGGCCGCTACCTCACGTGAAGGACGCAGGTGATGAAGCTGAGGGGCTACCCTTCCAGAGCATTTGTCGCCCCGACCCCAACTCCCCAGGAGGTGAGGGGGAGGGATGAGGAGCAGGAGGAGGAAGAGCTTGTGCAGCAGGAGCAGGGCGGTGAGGTGGAACGAAAGCGGGGAGGGAGAGGGTGAAAGCCTCTTCCTCCCCCCACCTCCCTCACCCTCCTCCCTCCTCCCGTCCTCTCCCCCCTTGCCTCCGCTGCTTCTCCCTGTTCCCCTCCTCCCGCTCCCGCCTCCACCCAATCCTCCCCCTTCCGCTCCCTCACCCCCCGCTCCTCTCCTCCCCCCGCCGCCCCTCCCCCCCCCTCCCTCGCCCCCGCACATCTTCTGGCGGCGCCGCGGCCCGGAGGTACCCGCAGCCGGGGCAGGTCGGCGGTGTGCGGCAGCGGCGCCCGCTGAGCGGCGCGGACGGAGGGATGGACTTCGACGCAGTGATCGACAAGGCTCGTCATTTTTCATGATCGTTCAACCTCGAAGAAGAAATAGCGACATAAACATAAACTGTTGGAGTTCCGCGCGGTTTTCACGCATCTGCGCTGGCCCTCCTGGCGGCGCCTCCAGCGCCGCCCTTGGCGCGCTCCGCGCGCCAAGGAGGGGTCTTAAAATCCGCGCGGAGTTCCAGCAGTTTTTTTTATACAGTTGTTTGGTTCCTGATCGATCCCCATCCCCACTGGGCCGTGGTATCTCAGCCCCACCATCCCACACGCCCACTTGAGGATAATTGCGCCCTGCGAACCCGAAGGGAACAGATTTTCCCGTCTAGAGGGGTAGATCGGCCAGTGGAACGAGGGTCACGCCACTGGGATAGGGATCGGTTAAAAGATGCTGCGTTTTAGCACGAGGTTTGAGGATCTGGATGGTAGTTCTCGGAGGTTTCTCCAGGCCCAGAACGGAACGGTCCCCATCAGCTGCGCCTCGTCGAGGGCGCTCTGTGGATGCGAGAGTCGGCCCGAATGACCATTAGACTAGACCCGAGTTCTGACTCGAACGCCATCTGAGCGACGCAGAACATCGGGGTTGTCTTCGCCGCCACGGGCGCGTAAGCTGCCCGCGTGAGGTCGCGCATAAGCGCCCTCGTCTCCAATGTGGCGTGCCGCGCTGGCGGCCCGCGTAAGCCTCGGCGCAAGGTCGCTATGCCATCTCGCGTAAGACCCGTGTCGTTCCGTCGCGGTCCTGTGAAGGCGTGGAGCGAGGGGGGGAAGCGAGAGGGGGCGGGCCTTGCCAGAAGGCTCAGAAGTCTCCCAGCCTGCTGAGAAGTTTTCTAAGCCCTTCCCGAAGACAACACCTCTTAGAAGGCCTCTGGCCTTCTGAGAAGCCCCGCCTCCTTCTGAGAGAGTATTCTCCTTCCCAGACATCTGCCGATCTGTTTTTTTCAAGCCGCGGCCCAAGAGGCCCCGACCCCTTCTCCGGGGGTGTTGTTTCGTCCCGGATCAAGTTTTGATGGCCCCCAGGCCTGATCGCGGGCCCTGGAGGCCGAAATGTGGGAGAGACCGCTGGCATGAAGAGCATCATTATACCTTCGGACCTTTGGGTTCTCTTTTCCCCCCCTCGCTCGTCGCCGGAAGCAGCTCGAGGGCCAGGCCTCGAGCCATGGTTGGGCCATGCTGGGCGAGGCGCTCGGCTCGCCGGGCGGGCCAGGGGCGGACCCCGGAGGAGTGGCCGGGGGCCGATGCGGAGCGGACTTCGGGCCTGAGCCTCCCACGTCAGACACGAACCCAGAGTGATGAGCGTGTTTTCCACCACCACCATAAGTTGGAGGGGGGGGTCCTCCTCCTCCTCCTCCTCCTCCTCCTCCTCCTCCTCCTCCTCCTCCTCCTCCTCCTCCTCCTCCTCCTCCTCCTCCTCCTCCTTCGCCCCATCCAACTTACACCGCACTCACATCTATACCCCTGGGTGGGTGTATGTGCGGCCGTTTTTGCGCTGTCATGTGCGCGCATGTGCGCGGCATGTGCCAGTCATGTGCCAGGCCTGTGCGGTCCTTCTTGGATGGACTTCCTACTGTGCACGTCGTGCCCGGGCATGTGCGGGGGCATGTGCGCTGTGTTTTGATGTATCCATCATACGCACATGCACGCACAGTCCGACGCACATGCGCGCACATGCCTGCACATGCGGGAGGTGTTCGAGAATCGCAGATCTGTCATCGGCACATGCACGCACATGCCTGTGCAACCTCTCTTCGGGAGGCCGCGCGGGCCCGCACATGCACGCACATGCGGTGAAGCGCGCGGGCGCACATGCGTGCACATCCCAATGCACATGCACGCTCATGCCCTAGGAGCTGTCTGGGACCCCTGTGCCTCCAATGCCTCCTGGCCTTCGCAGAGCTAACCTGGGGCGTGCCAGGGTTTCCTGAAAGAGTTTGTTGTGCGTTTAGACTCGCCCGCTGCTGGCGGGGGCGGTTATTCGCCCGGTTCGTGAGCTGGCGGTGGCGCGCCCGCCTAATAAAATACTCTCCCGCGCGCCTTCTCAGCTCGGCCGGAGAAGCAGGGATGGGGGGGGGGGAGGTGGAGGGGGGGGGGAGGAGGGGGGGGCGGAGGAGGCGGGCGCCCCCGGCCACTGGCCAGCCTGCCTGTTCGGCTCGGCCAGAGGAGAAGGAGGAGGAGGAGGGAGGAGGAGGAGGAGGAGGAGGAGGAGGAGGAGGTGAGAGTTGCGAGGCTGTCTCAGGCGAAAGTGGCTTGACGGCCCGAGCTCAGGGAATCTCGGAATCGCTGGCCTGGCTCGGCCACCGGCGAGCTCGGCCTGTGCGAATACTGTGCGTACCTGTGCAGTGCATGTGCGGGACGTGCAAGAATGCCGGGGCCGGCGTTCGTCTCCGGACGCCGGCGCGTTCGCGTCCGGCCAGTTCCGCGTGAGACGTCGTCGGCAATTTGGAGGCCGACGTGCTTTGACATGAAGTGATCTGGCCACCTTCGCCTGAGACATCCTCGCAACTCTGGTCTCGGAGATGCCCTGCCCCATGGTGGCCCGGCCACTTTCGCTTGAGACATCCTCGGGACTCTGGGTTTCGAGACGCCCTGAGCTGAGGTGGTTAGACCACTTTCGCATGAGACATCCTCGCAACTCTGACCTCAGAGATCTCCTGCCCCATGCTGGTCAGGCCACGGTCGCCTGAGACATCCTCGCAAGTCTCGATTCCGACATGCCCCGAGCTGAGGTGGTCAGCCACTGTCGCCTGAGACATCCTCGCAACCCTGATCTCAATGATGCCCTGCTCGATAGTGTCTCGGCCCCTTTCGCCTGAGACATCCTCGGAACTCTGGGTTCCGAGACGCCCTGAGTTGAGGTGGTTAGACCACTTTCGCTTTAGACATCCTCGCCCGAGATGCCCTGAGTTGAGCTGTTCAGGCCACTTTTGCCTGAGACATCCTCGCAACTCTGACCTCAATGATGCCCTGCTCCATAGTGTCTCGGCCTTTTTCGCCTGAGACCCTCGCAACTCTGGGTTCTGAGATGCCCTGAGCAGGTGGTCAGGCCAGTCCTGCCTGAGACATCCTCGCAACTCTGGGCTCCGAGATGCCCTGGGCTGAGGTGGTCAGACCACTCTCCCCAGAGACATCCTCGCAACTCTGACCTCAGAGATCTCCTGCCCCATGGTGGTCAGGCCACTTTCGCTTGAGACATCCTCACAACTCAGACCTCGGAGGTGTCCTGCCCCATGGTCGTCTGGTCACCTTGACCAGCGACATCCTCGCCACTCTGGTTTCCAAGATGCCCTGCCCCATGGTGATCCGGCCACGCTTGCCTGAGACATCCTCGGAACTCTGGGTTGCGAAATGCCCCGAGCTCAGGTGGTCAGGCCACCATCGCCTGCGACATCTCTGCGGCATGTGCGGGCATGTGCGTCTATGCTTTCAGAGTTTTGCTTGACCGTGCATTCGACTGTGCGTCGGACGGTGTGGCATGTGCGCGCATGTGCGGCAATGCTGTTGAGGCTTTTGTATATTTGCATGGGCATGTGCATGCGACTGTGCGGCATGTGCCTGCATGTGCGGCCCCTTCCGGACCACAATTTCAAAGTGAGCACTATAGAAGTGAGCGCTATAGAAGTGAGTCCGGTGTATGGTGGTGGTGGTGGAAAACGCGCTCATCACAGAGATCCGAGGATCTGACTTCTTCAATCCGGCGTTTCGGTCTGGGTTTCGGCCTCCAGGACCCAGTTCCAGTCATCCATCCGGACTTCGGCCTCCAGGACCCGGTTTTGTCTCGGATTTCTTCAATCCGGCCTCCAGGGCCTGTTTTCGGGCCCGAGGACCATCAATGAATGGATCCTGGACGAGAACTATCCCCAGGGAAGGGGTCGGGTCCTTGGGCCAAGGGGGCCGCGGATTGTAAAGATCATATCGGCGGATGTCTGGGATCGTTTCGTAAAAACCATCCGGACGGAAGGTTCTTCGCTATGTTCGGCCCCAGGGAGCCCTCGCCAGGCCCGGGGACCTTCAAAAATCGACTCAGGATGAAAGGCCGGTCCTGGGGAAAGGGTCGGGACTTCTGAGGGCGCCGTGCCGGCGAAGATCAGGGTGTCGCGTGTCAGGGACGTCTCGAGAAACTCGACTGGACTCGGCAGGGTTTTTCCGCAGCTGTTGGCCCCATGGGCCCCCCCCCCCCTCGCTGGGCCCTGGGGCAGTGGAGGAAGGATTCGGGACGAAAAGCTGGGTCCTGGGGAAAGGGTGCGAACTTCCAGGGCCCGCGTACGGTCGGGCCGAGTTATATACCTAGAGATCTGAGGATCTGATTTTGTCAATCCGGCGTTTTTTCCAGGATTTCGGCATCCAGGGCCCGTCTTCGGGCCTAGGGACTACCAAGAGTGGATGCAGGACGAGAAGCCACCCCCGGGGAATGGGTCTGGGGGCCGCGGATTGAACAAAAAGGATATATCGGCGGATGTTTGGGCCCTCGCCCTCGTTTCTTTCGGCGGGGAAGAACTCGGACTCCGCTCCTCCTCCTCCTGCTCCTGCTGCTCCTCCTCCGCCTCCTCCTCCTCCTCCTCCTCCTCCTCCTCCAACCTCTTCTCCTCCTCCTCCTCCTCATCATCCTCCGCGAACTGCACGTAGTCGTAGCCGTAGCCATAGCCGGGGTCGTATCGTAGTTATACCCTAACCAGAGTCGTAGTCGTCGTCGTCGTCGTCGTCGTCGTCGTCGTCGTCGTCGTCGTCGTCGTCGTCGTCGTCGTCGTCGTTGTCATCGTTGTTGTGCGGTGGTTGCCGCGAAGAAATACAGTCTTTCTATCATTGGTGGGGCCCCAGTCCGTCAATGAGGGCGTCGGAACAATAATTGGTTTCCATGTTTGGGGGGGGGGGTTGAAGACCAATCGAGGTTATGTTCTTCGTGCTTGTTTGATCTGATTGTGCATTCTGTCAGAGACCCGAATCATCAGGGGTAACTCGGGTCAGGGATAACTCGGGTTCCTTTTTCGGGAATCCAAGCCCGAGTTACCCCGGACCCGAGTTACCCCGGATAACTCGGGCGTCCAGAGCCCCAGAATCATCAGGGGTAATTCGGGTCAGGGATAACTCGGGTTCCTTTTTCGGGAATCCAAACCCGAGTTACCCCGGACCCGAGTTACCCCGGATAACTCGGGCGCCCAATTCTGGAGGAGGGTTTGGTGTTTTGGCCTGCAGACGGTCTCATGTTCTTGGAGGATGCTCTTCTGTCTTAGGTCCTGCCGCACGGCAACAATCAAGACGTCGGCTGTCCGGGCGGAGGGGCCCAGGGGGGCCTACTGCGCCTCAGCGCCCACTTCGCCGAGGCTCAGATCTTCCATTCCCGCCGTCGCCAGCCCGCGCTCTGGCTGGGAGGGGCTGGCCTGGTGCCACCAGGCCGCACTTGCCAACTACGGGCGGCTCGCCTCGCGCAGTGCGTTTCAAGTATTTCTGGCCGGTGTCCGTTCGGATGCCACGGCGCGGTTCGGCTAGCAACTGCAGCCTGCCTCCGCCGCCCGGCCGCTGAGGCCATAGGCAGTCGCAGCGGTTGCACCAGGCTTGCCCGTTCTTGGTAGACACGCTATGCGTTCTGTGAATGTTTTACCGCTCACCACATAGAATCCAAATCACATGAACGAACTTGCTGCGGGCGGTCGTAGCTAGCAGCGCGCGCAAATGGCAACCCTTGGCACCGCGGATTCTCCGGGCCAATCCAGCTAAGAAAATTTGCTGGGGCCGCGCAAGCACCTCTGGCAGGCCCACGTTTTGTTGGCCAGTTGGGACGTTTGGTGGCCACTGGATCGCTCAAGCGCTAAGCGCCTTGCTGTCCAGGGCCGCGCCCCGCGGGGGGTGCGCGCCCGCGGCAACCGCTCCTTGCCAGGAAGTGCACGCGGCCGCATGCACTGCAGCCGCGCGTTTGTGCACCTGGATGGTAAGCAAATCGAGGCGGTGCAGCTCGCGCGCCTCGGTCTCAATACGGCGCGCGGCAAGCTCAGCTCCGCGCTTCGCCAACACATCCGCAATCTCATTCCCAACAGTGACGCGCAGGGGCTGCTGGCAAAGCTGCAAGGACCTGGCGTCCAAGTGCGAAAAACATTTCCTCAGCTCTACGTGGCCCTCCAGTCAGTGGTCCGAGGCAACCTTGACGCGTCGCCACCACTGGCGGAGCTGCCCACTGGGCCGTTGCACCTGGCCAGCATGCCAACCGTCATGCACAACCTGGCTGTCCGCGCAGACGGTGGCGTCGCCTCGAGTGCCGTGGAGCGCGCGCCAATTCAGCGCTGGGCACCGTCTTCGCGCCATCCACGGCGCCGTGCCATCCGGGGACATCAGCATCAGCGGCAACGTCTTGGGGCATCCTCAACGCGACCCCCCAGCCGGCGCGCGCCACGCACGCGTCTATGCTGGTGGCCGACCCGTCCAAATCGATCTCCGAGCAACTGAGTCCGGATGCCCCTGTGGCATCGCCGTGCTCCTCCCAGATGGGCGCGGCGCAGTCCACGGCGAAAAATTGTTGCTCGCGAGTCCCACTGCGGGGGAGGCGGTGCTGAACGCCATCTGGCAGGCGGAATTCCTCGCCGCCAAAAGCAAGCGTTCTGCGAGTCATTGTTCATGCTTGCCTAGGCCCGCTCGCAAAGCCTCGGGTTCTTCTGGGCCCACTCGTTGTCAATGTTCGCTTTCTCCGGGCAATCCCACGCCTAATGGCGAAATGTCTCGGACGCCTGCTGGCAGCGCGGGCATGTGCCACCTGTCTGATAGCCTGCATCTTTGCAGCGTTGCGCGGTCCAGACAGCGCAGACGGCAGCCGTCTCAGGAGCGCCCGCCTCCCCGACGAAGTCTTTGGACCGCAGCTTCGACAAATTGACCTTTAACGTCGTCAGGCCCCCTCCCTCGGAGAGGCCAGCGCCTTGGTCGTGCCTGCTGGCCTGTCGCCACAGCTGTTGCGGGCGCTCTGCGCCATCGCTTCCTGGGCGTCCTCATGGTCGCAATCCGCATTGGGGTCCAAGTGCCATTGGCGCTCGTCAGGGTCGACCTATTCGTCGGGCCGAACGGGCTCCCACCCCAGCTGCAGCAACGTCGAGATCAGAGCACCGATGGGGCCCGCGGCAGCCCGCCAGCGCCCACGAGGACGCGCGCTAGCTAGCCTCGCCCGCGCAGCCCTCCATTCCTCGCGAAGGCGCTCGCGCAAGTCAGCGTGCTGGCGCCACGTGTGGATCCTTTCCCGCGCCCGCCGCTTCGCCGAAGCACGCCGTGGCTCTTGGTCACCGTAACAGAGCGCCCAGGTGGTAGCCTCGCACCGCCCACCAGCACAGTGGCCCGTCAGGTCCGCTGCGATGGATCGCTGCTTGCGCGCGTCCGTGGGCGTCATTCCCATGACAGCGCTATCGTAGCCAACCTTGGCATTCAAATTCGCGTTCTGCGGCTGCGCTGCACATCTCCGGCGTTGCTTCCGAAGATCTGTAGACAAGCGTGCACGACGCGCACGGTGCGTCATGCACCGCCAACGCTTGGCCGCAGTGGCGCGCCAGCGCCGACGTCCCAGCGCAGCGTCAATACAATGGTCACGCGCGGCAGTGGCCCTGGACACCTTCACGCCGTGCTTGGCCAAGATTTCCTGCATGAAACTGGCATCTGAAGCCTCCGTTGTGAGAAGCTTCGGCTTCTTGGAAACTCGGAGGTTGTCGCCCAGGCAGCCCGTCACGATCTCCTCCGCCGCTGCGCCCAGGAGGGGGGCCACTTGTCCTGCGGGCGCCTCCGGGCGAACCACGATGTCGCCCACGAACTCACGGTCTCTGGCCAAGGGCACCCCGCTGCAAGCACGGTCCAAGATGTCGCATGCCATCACCCTGGCCCAATTGTTCGCGCTGAAGCAGTTGCTAGACGACTGCGGCGTAACCAGCGGCACGTGTGCGTCTCCAGAAGGCTTCGAGGCGTTCCAGGAGGCTATTGAAGCTCAAGTATGCTGTGGCCTCTGTGGGCAATATTCAGAGGCTCGACCAGGAGCTGCGGGGCTCTGGGGTTCGGTAGTGGCTGGTTTGATCCCTAAACAGGTACGTGTGAGCAGGTTGCCTCCTCCCGTCCTGGTCCAAGCCGTACGCTGGATGGACCGTTTCAAGGCACGGTTCCCCGACCCCCTCGGATTTGTTGGCCCTGATCACGTTTTGGCTTTTCTTTGCCCGCTCCACTGTTAAAGTCTACTGTGTGAGTTCACGTTGTTTGGGGCGGCTGGCTCAGACGGCCGCTTCCATCGAGTACAGTACAGTACAGACGCATGGCGAGGACGGAATATGATGGCATGGCGGGGAGGGGGTGGACGTCGGCGAGGATCATCAAGCAGTCCTCCCCCTTCCCCCCTCCACCCCAGATCTCGCCTCCTGGAGCCCCCCCGGCGGCTGGGCCGATTCTTGCCCGAAGGGCTAAGCTGGCCTCGCCGTATTTTGTCTTCGTCGCTGTGGTCGAGCTCGTCAAATCGTCATCGTAGTTTGTCGTCGTCGTCGGCGCGACCATCGACGCGGCCGTCGATAAGGCGTGGGGGACGCAGGCGTGGGTCGAGGAATCAATGATCCAGGTTTGTTGGCACTTTTCTTCGTTTTGGAGGTAGGTTTCTCGTCGCCATGGCTTGATCCGCCTCGAAGTCCTGTTCAAGGCGCTCGACTCCCTGGCCAGATCGTCGTCGTCAGCGCGGTCGTCGACAAAGCGGGTCTCGTCGTCGGCGTCGGCGTCATCGTCAACCTTACCATCTTCGCTGTCGACGTCGTCGTCGTCGTCGTCGTCGTCGTCGTCGTCGTCGTCGTTGGCGGGGGCCTTTTGGAAAGTCCTCGTCGCCCGTGTTCTCGATCAAGTCGACGGTGTGGGCGCGGAGGAGCGAGGAGGGGCGAGGGCAGTGCGAGGCGGGGGAGGCGCTGGGAGGGGAGGAGGGGCAGAAGAGCGAGGAACGGCGGGGGGGCCTGGCCCTGGTGCCTCCGCTCGGCCTCGGTCGCGCGCGCGCGCGCTCACAGATGTCGAAGCCGAAGGAGATGTGGGAGGCGCGCCCGACGGCGAGGAGGACAACGGCGCCGACGGCGGCGGCGAGGGCGACGAGGTTCACGACGAGATTGACGACGATGACGGCGACGATGACGACGAGGTGGACGTGGACGCGGGGCGATGGCGACGACGACGACGACGACGACGACGACGACGACGACGACGACGACAGCGAGGACGGTGGCGGCGACGACAACAAGGGGGGTAGGAGGGAGGAGGAGGAGGGGAGGAGGAGGAGGAGGAGGGGGAGGAGGAGGGAGGAGGAGGAGGAGGAGGAGGAGGAGGAGGAGGAGGAGGAGGAGGAGGAGGGGTAGGAGGGAGGAGGAGAGGGCGGAGACGGGTCCACCTCGCGCGGGGCGCACCCCTGCCGCCGCTCTCCTCCCTGGCTGGGAGGAGGGCTGCTCGAGTCAACGGCGGCCCTCCTGGCGTCCTGCGTCCTCTTGTGGGCCTCCTCCTCCTCCTCCTCCTCCTCCTCCTCCTCCTCCTCCTCCTCCTCCTCCTCCTCCTCCTCCTCCTCCTCCTCTCCTCCTCCTCCTCCTCCTCCTCCTCCTCCTCCTCCTCCTCCTCCTCCTCCCTCGTCACGGCTGGGTCCTCGGTGGAGAGCGGGCCCGGACGGTCGCCGGGAGGGGTCCCGGGACTTACTTTTTGACTTGATGCAGGCTGGGCGGGAGGGACGCCGTCGTCTTGTCTAAGCGGGCCCTCCTCCGATCTTCGTGCGGCCTCTGTCTCCTCCTCTATAGGGCCCAGGCCGAGTCACTGCCGCCCCTGCGTTTTGGAAACACCTATGTCGTGGCATGTCGCCCCAGAGTTCCCCCCAGCTGTCCACTGGGGGGGCGCCGTCAGGGGTTTTCTGGGGCCATCTTGGGGCTCTCTTCTGGCCGTTCGGAGCTTCTTGTGAGCCTCCTGAGGCCTCCTTGGGCCATCTCGCGGGTCCGTCTTAGGGCGTCATTTGGCGTCTGGCACCGTCGGAGGTCTTGTTCTTGGGGGCCTCTGTTGGCTTGGGACCCTTTTGAAGCAAGTTAGGCCGTCTTTGGACTCTCTCGTGCCGTCTCGGAGCCTTGTTGGTGGATTCTTTTTGGGCTTGTCTTGCGAGCTCCGTCTCGGCCACCCTCAAGACTCTAGACCGAAAAGGCGAGAGTCCTAGCACCACTGAAGCACCACCAGTTTTCTATGATATGGGTCGCATTGGCCGACCATATTTGTGTTCAAGCGTACTCACGTTGCGTGCTTCTGCCCCAGAGAGCCGAAGCGATGTAAACAAGTCCTTGGCTTCGTGTGTGTATCCAGGTTGGACTTGCCTGAGGGTGTCTGAACTTGAGGAAGAGGTCGAGGAAGAGTTAGAGGGCGAGGGGCAGGATGAAGAGATGAGGAGGAGGAGGAGAAGGAGGAGGAGGAGAAGGAGGAGGAGGCGGAGGAGGACAGCAACGGCGGTTTCGATCGCCAGCGGCATTTCTGGAGGTCTCCAGGAGCGTTCGGAGATCTTCACTGAGGCCCCAGAAAGGGCCTCTAACGACGACGACGACGACGACGACGACGACGACGACGACGACGACGACGACGACGACGACGACGACGACGACGACGACGACGACGACGACGCCCGCGCGAATGTCGGGGCCGTTGCCTGGGCCGCCGCGGGGCCTCTGCTGGGCCTCCAATGGGCCACCGAGGGACTGCCGACAGGCCCACCGATGAGCCGTCGACAGGCCGACGATGGGCCGCAGGAGGTGCCGCCGATGGGGTTTCGAGGGGCCGTCGATGGGCCATCGCGGGGCCGCCGAGGGGCCGCCGATGAGTCGCCCCCCGCCGGCGGCCACAGGTGCGCAAGGAGGGCTCCGCCCCGCAGATCCTGCCGCGCGCGGACGTCGAGCCGCTGAGGCCGCCCCGGCCCTCCCGCGGCTCGGCCGACCGCCGCTGCCGCCGCCGCCGCCGACGTCGTGATCGTGGCTGCTGTCGTGGTCGTGGTCGTGGTCGTGGTCGTGGTTCGTCGTCGTCGTCGTCGTCAGCCTTCGCGGCCGGGGCTTTTGTGGGCCTCGGAGATCCCTGGGATCCTGGCGCCGCCATGTCATTTCTTCGCTCGCCACGGATGCTTTTGCCTTGTGGTGCCCTCTTGGAGCAGGCTGGGGGCCTGAGGCCACCCAGCACTGGTTCCGACCAGCAGGAAGGGGGGGGCAAGTTGCGCAAGAGACTGGGGTCGATGCAGACGGGGGTCAGTCAGGGCGCCGGATCTTGCAGGATCCTGCAGGGCCAGGGGGGCTCCAGACTCAGGGGGGAGGAACCACCCCGACACCCATACTTGGCGTTTACTCGTCGGTCGGTCTTGGCCGTTTGCAAAATTATCCTGGCGAAAGACCCAACCAACATACGCAAGTGTGAGAACCGTAAGGCAGGTGGGACGAAGCACGGGGACTTTCCTATGGGGCCACGAACCGTGTGAGGGGTGCGTCAAAATGGGGCGGGGCCGCCATGCGAACCCTGTTACTGGGGCCTTCGGTGGAGCTCCCTATGGGGCCACGAACCGTGTGAGGGGCGCGCCAAAATGGGGCGGGGCCGCTATGCGAACCCTGCCACTGGGGCCTTCGGTGGAGCTCCCTGTGGGGCCACGAACCGTGTGAGGGGTGCGCCAAAATGGCGCGGGGCCGCCATGCGAACCCTGCCTCTGGGGCCTTCCGTGGAGCCCTCTATGGGGCCAAGAACCGTGTGAGGGGTGCGCCAAGATGAAGCGGGGCCACCATGCGAACCCTGCCACTGGAGCCTTCGGTGGAGCCCTTTATGAGGCCACGAACCATGTGAGGGGTGCGCCAAAATGGAGCGGGGCCGCCATGCGAACCCTGCCACTGAGGCCTTCGATGACTCCCTATGGGGCCACGAACCGTGTGACGGGTGCGCCAAAATGGCGCGGAGCCGCCATGCGAACCCTGCCACTGGGGCCTTCGGTGGAGCTCCCTATGGGGCCACGAACAATGTGAGGGGTGCGCCAAAAGGCGGGGCCGCCATGCGAACCCTGCCACTGGGGCCTTCGGTGGAGCTCCCTATGGGGCCACGAACCGTGTGAGGGGTGCGCCAAAATGGGCGGGGCCGCCATGCGAACCCTGCCACTGGGGCCTTCGGTGGAGCTCCCTATGGGGCCACGAACCGTGTGAGGGGCGCGCCAAAATGGTGCGGGGCCGCCATGCGAACCCTTCCACTGGGGCCTTCCGTGGAGCTCCCTATGGGGCCACGGACCGTGTGAGGGATGCGCCAAAATGGCGCGGGGCCGCCATGCGAACCCTGCCACTGGGGCCTTCTGTGGAGCCCCTATGGGGCCACGAAACGCTGTACGGGGTGGGTGAAACGCAGGAGGAGGGAGGAAAAAGAAGAGGAGGAGGGAGGCGAGGAGGAGGAGGAGGAGGAGGAGGAGGAGGAGGAGGAGGGGGAGGGGGAGGGGGAGGAGGGAAGGAAGGAAGGAAGGAAGGAGGAACGCGGGGCACCGTCTCTTCAAAACGAGGACTTAACACCACAGGATGGTTGGGAAAAACACTCTCCAGTCAGGTGTTTTTTCCTTGGGTGCGTTGTAGGAGGAGGAGGAGGAGGAGGAGGAGGAGGAGGAGGAGGAGGAGGAGGAGGAGGAGGAGGGCGGCAGGAGGAGGAGGAGGAAAGGGGGGGAGGAAGAGGAGTAGGAAGAGGAGGAGGAGGAGGCGCAGTAGGGCGGCAGGAGGAGGATGAGGATGATGTTGATGTTGTTGTTGATGATGGTGATGATGATGACGACGATGACGATGACGATGGTGATGATAATGATGATGACTGTGGTGGTCATGATGATGGTGATGGTGATGGTGATGGTGATGGTGATGGTGATGATGATGATGATGATGATGATGAGGAGGAGGAGGAGGAGGAGGAGGAGGAGGTGCAGGAGGGCGGCAGGAGGAGGAAGAGTAGGAGGGCGGCAGGAGAAAGAGGAGGAGGAGGAGGAGGCGCAGGAGGGCGGCAGGAGAGGAGGACGACGACGAATACTAATAGTAATACAGTACTAATAATAAGAGGACGAAGCAACATAAAACGACGAGCAATAATCAACATGGTACGAAGAAACATAATCTAAGCAGTATTAAGACTAACATTAGTGCTTTTGGTATGAGTTGCAGTGACACTAGCAACACGACTTATGATGTGAACCATAAGAATGAGAATGCCAGCAGTAATAGTAATACTAGTAAAACGAATACGACTTACACGACGAATCTGAGTACTGTTTTATGATGTCAATAATAAGAAGAAGAGGGAGACCACGAAGACGAATCATAGTAATATTATCCCAACTAAGGCATATAAGAATAACACGATTGCTCTCACACGTAAGAAGACTAATACTGATACGAAGAAACATGCGAACATTCCTAAAACTGTGACCAATACCAGTACTCATCATCATCATCATCATCATCATCATCATCATCATCATCATCATCATCATCATCATCATCATCATCATCATCATCATCATCATCCTCAGCATCAGCATCCTCATCATCCTGATCATCCTCATCATCCTCGTCCTCATCATCATCATCATAATAATCATCATCATCATCATCATCAGCATCATCATCATCATCATCATCATCATCATCACCATCACCATCACCACCACCATCATCATCATCATCATCATCATCATC